GCCTAACGGGAAGAAATTTGGACTTAGGAAAATCTGGTGCCTTTGCTGGTTCTGGTATTTCGCACCTGCGGAAAATAGATCGCAGGTGCGTGAGCCGCACATGCGAAGATGGAAGCGCAGATGCGAGAAGTCGAGAGTTGGCCTGGGGTCGCAGGTGCGAGGACATTCCGCATCTGCGATGCCCGTAAATGCACAAGGCTGTTCGCAAATGCGCTAGATACGCAGAAGCAGAAGGGACGTCCGCAGGCGCGAGTGCGCAGGTGCGGCCCTTTCGTCGCAGGTGCGAAGGTAGAGGGGGCAAGTGAGTTGTGCATATGTGCACGTTTTCCGCACAAGCGCACCCGTAGGTGTGGAAATACCTGGGCAGTGATTAAAACCGCAGGGCTTCACGATTTTTATCATTTTTGGCTTTGCAAACTCGGGTTAGGGAGATTTTTGAGAGCATTTTTGAGGCATTTCTTGAGGTAAGTTCCTTGTGCTTATTTTTGGTCAATAATTTTGCCTTGCCATGTATTTTCCCACCTAGTTAATGTGTATTTAAGGTGAAAATTAGAAGTTTGAATTGTGGATTGGAGAACCATTTGGTGTCGAATTTTAGTAAATTTGATATTGTTAGACTCGTGAATGAATGAGCTTTCTAATTTCGTGAATTTTGTCGGGTTTCGAGACGTGGGCCCGGGGGTCGGGTTTGAGCCAATTTTGGGTTTTGGCCTAATTTTATAGTTTTCTTGTGGGATTCATTCCATTAGCGCGTATTGATGGTATTGTACTATTTTGAATAGATTCGGGCCATTTGGAGTCGGATACTCATGGCAAGAACGTGATATCGAGTTGATTTGAGCGGTTCGAGGTAAGTGGCTCGCCTAACCTTGTGTTTGGGACTTCCCCCTTAGGATATCTTGATATTATTTGGTGTGTGGGCGTCGTGTACGTGAGGTGACATGTACGTACACGGGCTATTATTGAAAAAATCATGTTTAACCTTTTTAAATCATAAATTGCTTCTCTTATTAAGTTGTACTAATATGTTTAATTGTGTAGTTTAGACTAGAAAAGCATGCTTACGTGTTTTAACTGCCTAATTGACATTCTGTGCGTCATGTTTAGCTAAGTCCTTATTTGCCTTATTTGTGTCCAGTATAAACTGTATAACTCGATGTCATACCTGTCATTTCATCTTGCATTGCATATTTACTTTGGGACTACGGATATATTTCGGGAGATCCCCCAGCACTGCATATTTACTTTGGGACTACGGACGTATTTCGGGAAATCCCCCAGTACTGTATATTTACTTTGGGAGTACGGACGTATTCCGGGAGATCCCCCAGCACTGTATATTTACTTTGGGACTACAGACGTATTCCGGAAGATCCCCCAGCACAGCATATTTACTTTGGGACTACGGACATATTCCGAGAGATCCCCCTGTACTGCATATTCATTTGAAACTACGGGACGGTATCCCGAGAGATTTTCTACTGTGTTTACCTTGTTTTGAGCCGAGGGCTCCCTTAACTGTTAAATTTTTGAGAATTTCCTTAACTATGTTACCGTAAATTTCACTTATATCTTTTACTATTTAATTTATTATATTTACTCCGGTAAGGCCTTGACCTGACCTCGTCACTATTCGACCGAGGTTAGGCTTGGCACTTACTGGGTACCATTATGGTGTACTCATGCCCTTCTTGCACATGTTTTCGTGTGCAGATCCAGGTACGAGCTACCAGCCTTGGGGTTAGTGCGTGCTGCTGATTCTAAGAGACTTCAAGGTACTTCTGCTTGCGTCCGCAGATCTTCGGAGTCCCCTTCTACTCCCTCGTCTGGAGACTTTCCTTATTATCTTCAGACTTTTGTAAAGAGCTACATAAATTATAGCAGCTTGTGACTTAGTGATATTCCGGGTCTTGGGAAACTATTTTGTATATGTCGCGTGGTGCTACTCTTGGCTATTTATAATATGCTGTTTATCTTTAAAATATTGTATTTTCTTTATATTTTTCGAAATATTAGGCTTACCTAGTCGTAAAGACTAGGTGCCATCACGACCACTTACGGAGGGATTCTTGATGTGGAACACATAAAAGATAAACCGGACGTTTAAAACATAAATGCCTACAAAGTTTGTTAAGACTTAAGAGTGAGGCATTTATGTTTAGACTTTAGAGCTTATAACTAGCACATGGTAATGGCACACTAAGTTCTTTGGTTTTTTCTGTATATGTTCTTCTTTCATTTACTTTTTCTCGTTCTTTTTCCCCCCTTTTCAAGCCCTCTTAGAAGGGCAAATAACCAGTCCCAAGTTTGTACTTTACATCTGGATTCTTGTCCATCACATCTGGAATTGTTAGAGTATTAAAATTAATATATAGATGCGGCCAGCGGTTGCAAAATGGTTAAAAGAAAATATTTAACCATCCATATTATCTACTAAAAAATAGGTTGGGCAATAAATTATTTAAAAACGGGTCAAATATGGATAAAAACTATATTATCCATTTTCTAAATGGATAACCACTAGATAGCTAATGGGTTTAACTTTTACATTTGTAAAACCTCAAATTGGAGGTTCCTCAAGTTTGGGAGATTAGGAATTCTCCCAAAAGTGATCATATTCAAAAAGTCATAAATAATATGGTTAATTACCCATATTATCCGCCGGTTAATAACCCGTTCTTTATCAGTATTAAATATGGTTCGGATTGGATAATTTATCCATTTTCTATTACCCACTTTCGACCCGTCCGTCAAGCCAAGCCCTGACCCGCTTAAATGGAATTCATATCTCCTTCGTCTGGTCGAGAAGGAAGGGGAACCAGATTATTTGCGGGATCTATCGAGTGGAAAACTGGGATGTCGATACACCGAAGAGCTACCAAATTCAATCCGACCCGCCCGTTTGCCACACGTAGAGGCAGCACTGTATACTCCTAATATAGGCAGACATTTAAGACAGACACAAAAGTAGGTTAGCTTTACGAAGATACCGCTGCTTGAACTGAATCAGGATTTGGGACTTTTAAGCTGTAACCTTTTGCCCTAAAAGATTTTGTTTGGAGCTATACACTTATATTATAAAAGATTTTAGTACTGTGATTAAGTCAGTCAAAGGATAATTACAAGTAATCGTCTAGACTTTTATATATATATATATATATATAAAAGAAGAATCTTGTTGTATTTAAATGCTATAGAAATTGAGGGCAGAATACATTGTTATCTATATCCTTATACCTTTAAGAAGAATCTTGTTGTATTTAAATGCTATAGAAATTGAGGGCAGAATACATTGTTATCTATATCCTTATACCTTTAAGAGGAATCTTGTTGTATTTAAATGATATAGAAATTGAGGGCAGAATACATCGTTATCTATATCCTTATACCTTTAAGAAGAATCTTGTTGTATTTAAATGATATAGAAATTGAGGGCAGAATACATCGTTATCTATATCCTTATACCTTTAAGAAGAATCTTGTTGTATTTAAATGATATAGAAATTGAGGGCAGAATACATCGTTATCTCTAAACTTGACATGGTTTATTCAGTGCACCTAATATTGGACGAGTTATAACATAACCGACTTATATTAATTCGACCTATTTTAACCCGTCAAATGTAAGTTAACTTACTCGTTTGATATATAACCCTACTTGCTTGCAATTTTGCCTTTTGGAGCTTCACCAATAAGGTGGTAAAGTAACAGCCAAATCAGGTAGGACGTTGAAAGTAGAGGCGGAGCTAGTATAGAATTATGGGTTCGGTCGAACATAGTAACTTTGATCTAAACTCTGTATTTGTCTTCAAAAAAAAATTATTGAATACGTATAAACTATAGTAATTTAGAACCTAGTAACATAAACTAACTATAATGCCAAACTCACAAGTTTCAAATCATGGCTCCGTCTCTGATCGAAAGGATCTGAATGGAAAATTTTAGTTTACTCTTTTTTCTGGTGGAAGCTACCCGATCACTCGATTAGGAAGAAGTTTCTCAAGTTAGGAGTCCTCCCAAAGACACACAAATAAAGTTATATTATATCTAGACGAGATATATTTTATTTATATGGTGGATCGTTAATTTGACTTGTATGCCTCATCAATACATAGAGAAAAACGTCGGACTAATTAGCATATTCTTCAGCAAATACTTGTTCACACCAGTCACCTAACTTGTTAACCATAATAATTCTTTATTTAAGTGGAAATTAACCCAACCCATCAATTTATCTATTTCTTGGCTCATATCAATGTGAAACATGAACACCCCCCAACTATCAGAAAGCTTTAGACTTTATTTGTTTATGTCTTTATCTTGTAAATAAAAGTTATACTTTTTGTGAATAGTGAAAGGTAATAAGTAGAAGTGGAGTGGGATAGAAATAATACTTTACATCATTATGGGGAACGGTGGAGTTACAACATTCTCTCTTTTTTTAGAATTTTATATTTGAAATTTACGGATCCACTAATTCAGATTCACGCCGAGTAAGTCCTATTAAAGGAAAAGTTCCGAAGTTTCTTTAATTTATAGGATCTTTACACAAATAGTCGACTATATCCATTGTTTACTTTTTCTAATCATATACGATTATACATATACCATACATAAATTATACATATATATTATATTTTTACCAGCTATTTTTAGTTTAAACGATTAGGCGAGCGACTATTTGGGTTAAATCTTCTTAATTTATTTACAAAACTTGAACCAAGAGAGATCTATAAACCTTTTGATTTTCCTATAGACGTTGTTGGTCCTATAATATTTGAGATCCTAAAATATATATGTTCTGTTTCGTAAGTCAATCTTTATATAGTAAGAAAAATCATGCTATCTTGTCCTTCTAGAGAATCTTCACTTTTTTGACCCCAACAATTAATTTAAAAAATGAAAAGATAGAGTGAACTTCGACCTACTGCATAAGTGGATATGTCAAACACTCAGCCAAAAATTAGCATCTATAAAATGCAGCAAATTAATTTGCTATCATCAATCTCATTCTAAAGTCTTGTTTATACTTCAATATTCTTCTTAAGATGGCCTTTTATTCGCGATTTTATTATATTTTCTACTTGTCTCTGTTAATGTTTTTACTAATTAGACTCTCTTCGGCACAGTTGTCTTCGGACTACTATGAGAAATCTTGTCCAAAAGCTATTTATACAATTAAAGACGCAGTGACAAATGCTGTGGCGAAAGAGCATCGCATGGGGGCCTCTTTGCTCCGTCTTCATTTCCACGATTGCTTTGTTAATGCATGTTTCTATCTAATACTTTATCTTTTGGTTTGCTTTTTATATGTTTTGTGCATGCGCGGATTATTGTGACATAGTTTTGTTTTTCACACTCAATTTATTATATATAAATTAAACTAGTGCGTGCAGGCGATACAACTAGTTGAATCAGAATTCACGAATTATTTTAGAATATAAAAATGCCGAAAACGAAACGTCTTTGCTCTTGAATAGAGTTGGTTTGCTGATAAAAAAATTCCGTTAAACTCGGCCCAATTTATGTGTGAATTGCATTTTTCCATTATATTCTATAGTTAAATTATAGGAAAAGAAGGAATTACCAAGGGCTGTCACATGAACAAAAAATTAGCATTTGAGACTAATGCCCTGGATGTATACGTAGTACGAACTAGTTTCTATCTTGCCCAAGTAGGATTATTGTTTCATATGTTATTTATTTATTTATTTGTTTTGAAATAAATATTGGGGTCATTTGATTCTTATCATACCACATTCTTGTTTAACCAAAAAAAAAAGGTCTTTGAGGGAGTTTGGACATAAGAATTATAAAATTTCGAAAAAAGTAAAAATAGTATTTGAAAATTAGAGTTGTGTTTGGACATGAATATAATTTTGGGATGTTTTTAAATTTTTGTGAGTGATCTGTAGTGAACATTTTGAAAATTAGCTTTTTGGAATTTTTCAGATTTTCAAAAAATTCCGAAATTTATTTTTCAATAAAAATCGAAAATTTCATGGCCAAACACTAATTTCGAAAAAAAGTCAAAAGGAAAAAAAGAATCTTTTTTCATGGCCAAATGGGCCTTTATGTAAAAGTAAAGCTGGGCTGTTGCAACGATATTTTCCTTTTATACAAACTATCACTGTTAATATTTATATTACACGGAAAATATCTACTTAATTACTTTTGATTGAATATTTTCCAAGTAATAGGGTTAAGAATTAAAAAGTACTAATATCTATTTTTTACAGGGATGTGATGGATCCGTATTACTAGATGATACTTCAGATTTCACTGGAGAGAAGACAGCAAAACCAAATTCAAATTCACTAAGAGGTTTTGATTTGATTGATACAATCAAGTCTCAAGTAGAGAAATTATGTCCTGGAATTGTTTCTTGTGCAGATATTATAGCTATTGCAGCACGAGACTCTGTTGCAATAGTAACTACTTTAATCTCTATCTTCCCTCTCCTAACTTAAACAAGTTTATAATTTCTTCTATTCAATTTCAAAATCCACAAGTTTATGATTTCTTCTATCCAAGGATTTGGGACCGTATATAATCAGTATATAATCTACGTAAATCAGCTAGAAGAAATTTAAGGTGAATCCGACTGGCTATTTATGTAAAGTTCCCTATATTTATGGATATTTTTTACTTTTAGCCCACGCCAGAAACTATTTACATTTGGTAGTCGAAAAAAGTGTATGAAATTTGTATAATTTTTGTATATAGCATACAAAATGTATATATATTAAAAAAAATTATTTTTTTTGTTATTATTTTGAGAACGACTATACAATATTATTTTCCGTATATTTATAGCTCAATGAAGTTCCTTTGGGCTTGGTGCAGCTAGGTGGGCCTTCGTGGACTGTCCAATTAGGTAGAAGAGATTCTACAACAGCAAGTTTAAGTTCAGCAAATAGTGATATCCCTTCTCCTTTGATGGATCTTACTGATCTTATTACCAATTTTGCCAATAAAGGCTTCACTGCTAAAGAAATGGTTGCCCTTGCAGGTAATTAACAATTCTTTTATTTTTCCAGTTTAAAGAAAATTTTATTATCGCCTTAGAAATAATTTGGAATGCGTACTTGGGCTCGAATAGAACAGAATATAAGCTAGCTTAAGCATTTTTTCGCTTATTTACTTGTTTGGTAAATACCAAACTTATAAACCAAGTACTCTAATGATTTTTCACTTATAAACACTTTTACTTCGATCAAGAATTATATTATTATGTTTCTAATATCTTTTATAATTTTTTAAATTCACTCTCCATTCTACTTATGTCGTTCTTCTTTATCCTTATAAAAACAATTTTTTTATTAGTTTAAATAATTTTTAAGAAATCTTGATCATTCTAAGAGAAAAATATTTATCAGCATATTTTTACCAAACGTAACTGCTTATTTTATATAGTTAGGGGTCGTTTGGTTGGGAAACAGTTATTCAATGATTAATTATACCGGGACTAGTTATATCACCATCCCATAGAGATAAAACAATACTACAATCCCGGAATTAGTTATACAACGATTTTATCTCAATCAAATATGGGTTAAATTCATCTCAAATAAAATCCGGGATTAATTATCCCTTATCTCTCATATCAAACGAGACCTTAGCTTCAGCACTATGCTCGTGAACTATTTTTAATCAACTAATTAAGCCAAACATACTCTAAATACAAAAATTCACATATTCGAATCCCCAACTATTTCAGAGATGAAGTATAGTTGATTGATTTATTGATTAATCTCGAAATATTTTCCAGGTGCTCACACCATAGGTCAAGCACAATGTACAACATTTAGGGAACGTGTGTACAACGAAACAACCATCGATTCATCGTTGGCTACATCGTTGAAATCAAACTGTCCGAGTACAGGTGGAGATGACAGCCTTTCTGCACTTGATGCAGCTACCCCTGCAATATTTGATAACCATTATTTCAACAACTTAAAGAAAAATAAAGGGATTCTTCACTCAGACCAACAACTATTTAGTGGTGGTTCTACGGATTCTCAGGTTACTACTTACGGTACTCGTCCTATAACATTTGCTGCAGATTTTGCAAAGGCTATTGTCAAAATGGGAAACTTAAGCCCGCTTACTGGAACCAATGGCCAGATTCGTACCAATTGCAGGAAAATCAACTAATTATTTTGCACAAACTTATGGGTTCGGTAAAACCTAGTAATTATATTAAGTTTTACTTAATATGTATGAATAATTTATCTTGAATCATCTCTATCTTTTATAGAATTCAAAATCCATAAACTCAAAATTCTAACTCCGCCTCTTATTCAGCATGCACTTAGTTAAATTGTAGTAGTAGTAGTAATTATGCATGTTCCTATGAATGAACTCAAGTTTGTATAGTGTTTGTATTTTCTTTTAAGAACAACTGTTTGCGAGAATAAATAATTTACACTTGTGTTGAAAATAGTACTTCCATTATTGGCCATCACTTTTTGTTTCCTCGAATTAAAATTCTAAAGTTGACTGAAAAATATTGTTCAAGGGGCTACCAGAGCGTATTATTTTTCGACTATTAAAAGTTTAAGGGGGAAAGTGGAATATACTCTTCAAAAATATATCCTCCATTTCTTTTCAGCAGCTGATAAGCTTCTAATTGATGCTTTTAAAATTTGTTTATGTCACAAACTAATAAAAAATCAGATTAGTTTTCAGTTGACAACCAATATCTTGAGATTGAAGAACTATAAGAATAATCTTGACAAAGAAAGGAAAAATAAAATAAAGATGACTCGACCCCTGATTTAGCACATATAATTAATAATATCTCCGTCTAAGCTGATCTTATGCCATTCATCTAAGTTGACTCGCAATATGAAATTATTTTAAAACATGGCCATATTATAAAAGCTGCCTACTTTCCAAGACAAAATGCAAATCTTACTTAATGACTGCATTGAAACTAATTAATGACCCATGTGATGACTTGATAATATGAACAGTGTCGGCCTAATTTTACATTAAATAGCCGTCCATCTAATTTCTTAAACTAAAAATAACCGACGAGTATATATAATAGAATTTATGTATAATCTATGTATACCGGCTAGAAAAAGTAAACATTGAATCTGACCGATTATTTTTGTAAACATATATACTAAGATCATTCTCAAAAATGGATTTTTACCTTCCTATACATTATTTGAAACCTTATTACCCTTCCTACTCAAGTTTCTATTTAATTACATGGTCATATACAATTTACCAATTATATACAAATAAGTTTTATATGGGTATCCCTTTATATTAGGAATTGAATAAGGAATATCAGTTATTTCCTTATCACTTAATACTTACCCACTGTCTCTCTCTGTCTCTCTCTCTCTCTCTCTCTCTCTCTCTCTCTCTCTCTCTCTCTCTCTCTCTCTCTACTCTCCTTCTCTGTTTTTTCCAATTTTTCTTTATTTGATGTTCTATGTTTTTAATGCTTTCTTGTTGTAAAGAGTTTTAATAGAATTCATCAATGGATTTCAATCGTTTTAACTTAGCAATTTCCTTTCATGTTGCACAATTAGTGTTCAAATTGAAATTATCAATTAATAAATTTTGAAGGTGATTAACTCTCCACCATTGACAACCATTAAAAAGCTTTGAAGCTTTGAAATTGAATTTGAATTTTCAAAAACTATTATTTGTTTGGATTGGGTGTTGTTGCAAACAATTGAGAATATTGTTTGGAGTTTATATCTCAATTTTGAGGATATTTTGGTGAAGATTATACTTGATTTTGGCTGAATTTCAGATTGAAACTTGAAGAAGAAGAAGAAGAAGAAGAAGAAGAAGAAGAAGAAGAAGAAGAAGAAAAAGAAGAAGAAGAAGAACACATGTCATACAATATACTTACGAAATTGTAGTAAAGTTGTATTATAATTGTATGTAAATTGTATTCTATTGTAGTTATATATATTTTTTATTTGAATGTTGTATGAAAGTTAAAAAATAGTTATATAATGTATGAATCGTTGTATAAAATTTGTATTTAAGTTATCAATACTATCTTTTTACATAAAGTTGTTGATATGTATCAAAATTATATTAAGAGAGTAAGTTTTGATTGGAATTTTAGAGAGGAAGAAGCACACACCACATACAAAATATATACAATCAGATACAAAATATATATAAAAGACATATTGTATAAAAATTATATTTAAGTTGTATGATATTGTAGTTGTATTTAACTGGGTAGAAATAATGTATGAATGTTATAGATAAATTGTAAATAAATTGTATAATATATAATTAGTTGTATGAAATTTATTTTTACTATGTATGTTGTTGTAGATATTCAAATTTGCATTAAATTTGTACGAAATTTATTTTTAATTTGTTTGTTGATGTACCATATATTTTTTCACGAGCCAAACTATTCCAAGAAAGAAGAGAAATTGGGCCATATTAATTAAACAAATATATAAGAAAGTTCTTTTTTGTTTTTGTTTTTGCGAAGTGAAGTCTGGTGTCTCCCCTACTGGATGATTCATGACACCCCTCTAATCTAATGCGTAGTGTTTGGTCACCTACTTAACATTTTGATGAACCCTTAGGCCCTCAATATACTTGTCCGGGTGACATAAACCCTAGCTAGCTAATTGAGGCCCTCGTGTGTATATATATGGTCAGATGAGAACACGCTCGTTAGCGATGTGAAAGCACCTAATGTGTTTGAGAGAGCGAAGGAGGAAATCGAGGCTCTTGTTCAGGCATTGCATCCTAAAAACACTACTAGAAATTCGCTAAAAATCGATCAAAAAAACCGACCAAAGTTTTTCGGTTATGGCCAATTACCGACCAAAACGCGACCATTAGGGTGTGGACGATGTTTTGATGGTCGGAATGGCTTACCAACCAAAGTTGGTCAGAAATTACCGACCAACTTTGGTCGGTAGCTTAAAACGACCATCTCACAAGTTTAAGTACATACCGACCAACTTTGGTCGGAATTATATTTTATTAATTTAATTTTACCAACCAAAGTTGGTCGGTTTAACTAAATTATATTTTTTATTAATTATTAAAATTTAAAAAAACTGACCAACTTTGGTCGGCAATTGAAAATATATATTTTTTTAAAATAATTAAAATTAAGCATTACCGACCAACTATGGTCGGTAACCTCAACAGTGCAGGCAAAATACTGACCAAAGTTGGTCGATAATGTTGAATTCTGGGAATTCAATGTTCATTAACCGACCAACTTTGGTCGGTATTTTGGAATAATTTTTTTTTTATTAAAAACCGACCAACTTTGGTCGTTTTTTCTGGGTTTAATTTTGGCATAAAATGCCTGTTTTGACAGCTACACCACCTGCCAGCATACCAATGCACCTAATAACAACAACAACAACACAACAATAATAACAACAACGACAACAACAACACAACAACAACAACAACAACACAACAACAACCAAAACATTCAATAAATACTTTAAAACTAACAAATTAAAGTTCAATTGAAAATAAAAATTCAAAATCAAGTTAAAACTAATTACAATTAGTTCAAAACTGGTTCTATTTGTCTAGTTCAAAGTATATAAAAGTCAAGGGGTATTTTCTACAACAACATCATCACCGTCTGATGAACTTTTATTTATAAGACGGTATAGAGAATGGTCTTGTGGAGGACGGGAAGAACGATCACGGGGAGGACGGGAGGAACGATCACGAGCAGGACGGGAGGAACGATCACGTGGAGGTCGGCCCTCTGGAGATGACTCACGAGATCGGGGCAACGGAAAAGCTCCACTAGATAGGAGAGTTCTGATCTGAGCTTGCATGCCAAGGAATTGAGCATCTCTAAGCCTTTCTCTTTCCTTGGCCGCTTCTAGCTCGGATGTGAGCTTTGTCACTGTCTCCCGCATAGCGGAGAGGCTCTCCCTATTAAGTTGCTCGCCTTGCGAGGAAGTCCCTATTCTTCGCATTCCACACTTGTAGCGATGGAAGTTTTTAGTAGGAAGCCCGTATACCTTCCCCCATTTTGGACCGCCAACAGACTCCAACCATATTCTTTTAGCATCCTCGCCCGAAGGTTGGGTTGGCTCACCCGATTCACCAGCTGGATGACTACGGATGAATTCTTCCACGTTACTTTGGTAGCGACCCTATATTATTTTAAATTAAATCAGTATTTCAAAATTTTTATAAAAGTAAATTATAATACTTAAAGAAATATGAAAGCTTACATATGCAGTCGAAGCCCGGTCCTCGACCCACCTATCTTGATCCCCCTCTTTCTTCTTCTTCACAATATGCGTGTAACGACCCGGCCGGTCGTTTTGAGAGTAATAGTCCCGATACCCTATTAACTGCTTTCCCCAAATCTTTTTTTCTATTATGACTTGCCGGGATGATTGGTTTTGAGTTTCGGAGTGTTTTGAGACACTTAGTCCCTAAATAAGAGCTTAAACCCTAGGATTTGGACTGTAGTCAGAACTATATAAAGACGACTCCGGAATAGAATTCTGTCAGTTCCGTTAGCTCCGTTAGGTAATTTTGGATTTAGGAGCGTATCCGGATTGTGGTTTGGAGGTTCGTAGCTCATTTAGGCTTGAAATGGCGAAAGTTAAATTTTCGGAGTTTTGGGCCGGTAGTGGAAATTTTGATATCGGGGTTGTTTTCCGATTCTGGAAGTTGGAGTGGGTCCGTAATGTTGATTATAACTTGTGCGCAAAATTTGAGGTCAATCGGACGTGATTTGATAGGTTTCGACATCGGTTGTAGAATTTTGATGTTTCAAGTTCTTTAAGTTTGAATTGGAGGGTGATTCGTGATTTTAGCATTGTTTGATGGGATTTGAGAGCTCGACTAAGTTTGTATGGTATTTTAGGATTGGTGGGTATGTTTGGTCGAGGTCCCGGGGGCCTCGGGTGTGTTTCGGATGCTTAACGGGTGAAAACTTGGACTTAGAGGAATTTCTGAACTTTGCTGGTTCTGGTGTTTTTGCACCTGCGGAAACGAGACCGCAGGTGCTCGAGCCGCACATGCGGAGATGGAAGCGCAGATGCAATAAATCGAGAGTTGGCCTGGAATCACAGGTGCGAGGAAGTTTCCGCATCTGCGATGCCCGCAAATGCGCAAGGATGTTCGCACATGCGCAAGATGCGCAGAAGCGGAAGGGACTCCGCAGGCGCAAGGGCGCAGATGCGACCCTTTCTTCGCAGGTGCGAAGGCAGAGGGGGTAAGTGAGTTGCACAGATGCACACGTTTTCTGCACAAGCACACCCGCAGGTGCGAGCCCAGGTTCCGCAGGTGCGAAAATACCTGAGCAATGATTAAAACTGAAGGACTTCGCAATTTTTATCATTTTTGGCTTTGCAAACTCGGGTTTAGGCGATTGTTGAGAGCATTTTCGAGGCATTTCTTGAGGTAAGTTCCTTGTGCTTATTTTTGGTCAATAATCTTGCC